TTTTTTCTTTTTCTTTTTGTAAAGTTGCTAAAACAGTAATAATAAACAAATAATAAATAATAAACAAATCATAAGTAATAAACAAATAGGCGAATAGTAACAAATAAAAGGAGGCGCGCCTTTTCTACACCTGGGGCCTCTCGCCTCTTCCATAAAGGCGCTCACCTGTTCAAAGACCATCGCCTATGGTCTACACAGGCGCAAGTCATGTGTCTGTAGGCGCCTTGCGCCTCAGGCGCGCGCCTTCGGTGCTTTTGACAACTATGACTTGAAGGCTTCACATTAGAGGGTAAAGAATATATGATCTATAAATTTAAGATGTCAATATATGAACTTAAATAAACTTCCTGACAATGGTATTTTAAATTCAATGATACCATTATTTCTTTCGGTTTTAAGAAAAATATTGTTGATTAGTGTATATACTAAAAAGTTAGTGAGAGTAAGTTTATATTTCTGATTTTATATATTGATAATATTTTATTTGTTAGTAGTGATCTTAGTTTATTATATGAAACTAAAAGTTATCTCTAAGAACTTTGAAATGAAAGATATGAATGAGGCATCCTACATGACAGGAATAGAAATATTTCATGATAGATCACGTAAATTTTTTAAGATTATCTTAGAAAGCATTTATTGAAAGAGTTCTAGAAAGATTTGGTTTGTAACATTATTCAACCACTATTGTTTCATACATAATAGGGGATAAATTCAAACTCATGCAATCCCAAAGAATGAGTTAGCTAGAAGGTAAAGAAACGAAAAATATTCCTTATGCATATATTGTGGAGTTTGATATAAAGTTGGTATGTGATAAAAGATTATATGCTTACAATTAGAAAGACATTTTTTAATTAGTTATTTGTTTCTTTTGGCTGGAAGAATAATATTATGAAAAAGTATAAAGTAATTTTTTATTACTTTATCTATTATGAATTTTTAATTTGTAGCATACTTTGAGGCTACAATTTATTATTGCAGAATTTATTTTAGGATTTGGAGTTATGAATACCATTTTCAGATTACTGAAAATTTATGCTGCAATTGTTGATATTTTTGTATGAAAAATGATAGGTATTCTAAAGTTGAAATACTTTATCATTAAAGAAGATGTTTAGAAATAACGAATGTCTATTAAATATATAAGCACACAACTTATGGTTACAATCCATCAACGAATGGACTACCACCCAAGACATTTATGGAACATTTTAAAAGAATGGGTCTTGAATGTAGTCAATGATGATTATTTTTTAATTGTGGATTGCTTAAGTGTGCTTATATATATTTGACATTTTGTACTAATTAAATGTGTTTGTGATATTTTCTATTAATTAATGTACATGTACGTATTGCTTTAATAAATGGTAATAGGAATAATCTTGGGAAAGGCATTATTGTTAGATCATTATTAATATTTCTCATTTATAGACTGTGTTGAATAGGTTAATAATGTTGTGGTACATGGAATGGACTGTGTCATTTAGGGACATATAACCATCATGACTCGCATTGGTAGTTTATTTACCATGGTATTTATGATGACTAACTTAATGAGTCAATCTGATTTATGGTGCACACTAATGACTATTTTACTAAAACACTACAGAAGTTACTATATGTGCCAAGTGGGAGAATGTAAGATTATTTATTTTATTGTGGTCCACATAATTTGGACATGTGACATATTATTTGGTGGTTATATAAAATAGATATCAGATTAATATTATATTATTTGGTCAATTTATAAATTACCTTTTTGGTAATTACTTATTGAAGAAGTATTTTCCTTTCTTGTTCCTTACTTTGATGGAAAGTGAAATTAGGTTACTAAAAAGAAAACTGGTCATCTCTCTGCCTTTATAAAAGTGCATATACTCCATCAATTATGTACAATTAATTAATGATACAACACGTAAAAGTTTTATGTGTGCAAAAGGCCAAGAAAGAGAAATCGGTTTCCACATTTTGACTATTGCAGTTTAGCATGTTGTTTGTTCCGTAGAAAGGATTTCGACATTAGACTTGATCTCGATCTACGATATTTACAATCACAGATCGAGGTATTTACATCTAATTATATTTATTTATACATTATAGATATGTGAGAATAATGAAGTTTTAAGATTATGGGATTCATGTTTATTTGTGATGAATGGCTTAACACGAATTAATTATAATTTGCATCTGAATCAGAGAAAGGCATTCTTGATTGGCTAGAAAGTAACAAATAATGTTACATCTTCTTGCTATTTATTGTTGAATGTTTTAAGTTTTTGGAACTAAACTCTTAGAAATATATATGATGATATATATTTTGTGGGATATAATGATATATATTTTGTGGGATGCTGTTAATTAAATTGTGGCTAATTTTGTGAATCGTTATGGTCCATTGAAAGTCATAAAATTCAACTGCCTTTTTCAAATAGTGGTTCAATTGTTAATATAGTAGTGGTTGATTGTTCTTGAGCTTTTGCGATGAGCCTAACCAAGACTTTTGTGTGCACCTCTAATTTTTATTTTATTTTTAGTATTATTATTTTTTATATATAGATAAAGTAATCAAACCATACATTTTAAAGGATAAAATACACTGTCATGAGGCTTGGACAAATTTGAAAGTACAAGTAGAGAGGGTTAGGTTCTTATTACTTTGATAGCATCTAAAAGTGTAAAATATCAGTCATACTTTTATCTATTTTAAAGATAGTTTAATAATAAAAAATAAAAAAAATATGTCAAACCAAAAGACTCCACTAGTACCCCTTTTCTAATATTGTAAATATTATATTACCCTATCTAATATTTTTATTTTTAAAATAAAATCCTAATCAGACTCTAAAAAGAAACTTAATCAAATCTCTTTAATAAAAACAAATGTTTTTGTAAATTTTAATAATATAAAATTGGTATGAAAAATTAATACTTTGCATTTCATGTCAAAATATATAGGGCAAATTGCACTCACATCCCTTGAGGTTAGGCTATATTTTAACTAGATGAAGATTTTGGCTTTAAATTTCACTTACATTTGAACTAGTGGTTTAGCATTTCATTTACACCCCAAATGTCAGTTTTTGGTGGGGTTAGAGTACTTTTGAGGTGTTAAATGACTATACTGCCCTTTGACCATGTGTTAACTATTTTTGTGACCAAACTACCCTCAACATACACCAATGCCGAGGAGAGAGAAAGGAATATCCATGTCAACAAAATACTTCACACATAAGCCATCTTCTCTCTCCTCCAATCTTTCTCTCTCTCCACAGACCCATCCTGGTGATACCAATCACCCCATTTTCTTTACCTCTAGCCTAGAAAACCAGAGACAACAACCATAAACCTAAGAAGTCCCACATCAACAACAACAACCCAAATTGGCTAGCTCACCTTCTGTCCTTCAACGTCTCAAGTCCATCGACTTCTTCATATACAGATCCAAAGAGCCCAACCCATCAACCAAACTCTAGCGGCAAGCTCTCATCCTTACGGGCGTCACCTACGACCATTCCAACATCTAAACCTGGCTTGACTCCAGCCACAACACCTATCCTGCCACCATGTAGATCCTCGACAACACCAACTTCGTCCCCAACCTCACCTTTCGCCGTTTCATCTACCTCTGATCCGATCAGCCACCGAAATCTGACCACTCCTCTAAAGTACCTCATCCAATCTCAAAGCAAGAAATAGTTCAATCAATCATAAAAATCAACCACCATGCAGATGATTGTTTGATTTCTCTTTGCAAAATCATTGACTTTGCTAAGTCCTTTAACGGCTCAAGAGGGCAGCTTACTGGGTAGTAGCTAGTCAACTCTTTATCCACAGCCAGTAAGTTCATTATTGTCAAAAAATTTGCCCAAACTCACTGGCGTCTTCCAAGTTCATCATCATCACCGGTGGTTTCTTTAGAGCTCTATACCGCCACTACTTCCCTATCGCCGTTCAGATAGTGAGGGAGGGCTTTGACGCCGAACTATGAGAAGGTGGTTTAGGACTTTGCAACTCAGTTCGAATTGGACTCATAAGTGACGGTGTTAAAGAGAGTGGTGAGAGTTATGAGGAGGAAGATGAGATAGGTCAAGACGAATATTGTGAAGATGTGAGAGTGCAGAGATAGAAAGTTTGGAGGAGAGAGAAAGTGGTGAGGAAATGGGTTTGCTACTTTAAGGGTATGTGTGAGAGAATGATGATGAAATAGTTTTGTTGGTTAGAGGTGTGTATCTGTGAAAGATAAAGAGAGAGAGAGGTGGGGATGTGGGTAAAATCGTTGATTGAATTTTACCAAAATCCCAATCGGCCATGTGAGTGAAATCATTGATGAAGAATCTGAAGAGGATTGGTCTACAAAGAGAGGAGAGAAAAGGTGTTGATATGTGCGTTTAGACTGTTAGGATTGCTCGGGACCATAGATGACGTGGTGGCCTCGGGACTACGTGTACAAACAGTATATATATATATACACACACACACAAAGGGGCCTTTCTGTCATTTAAGATTATATATATTTTGTATTAAAAAAAATTGAGAGTAAAAGGGTTAATTCGTAGGCAAAAAGTAAATTGGGGTGTAAATGAAAGTTAAAACTAAAATCTTCATTTAGTTGAAATATAACCTAACCTTAAGGGGTGCATGTAAGTGTAATTTGTCTAAATATATAAGGTTATTGAGGTAATTTAAAACAAGAAAATGACAAATTAGTCATTTTATTTGAATTTTCATTAACGGTAGAGGTCGTTGAGCACACATACCAAATCTAAGGACATGTCAAAATAATATTGGTCATAAATACCATATGCAATTGATTACCCATTTTATTTCTTATATATAATATGCCATAAAACACACACACGCAGACATGAAAAGAGTGATTTTGTTTCTACTGGTATTTAAACACACCCTTTATCCTCTTAATCTTTGTTTTCTCTAATTTCTTCTTCTTCTTCTTCCATTTATTATTATTATTATTATTTTTTTTAATTTTGAAACAGAGACTAGATAGTTATTACAAGAGAAACTATAAGGATTACTTTGGATTATTGGGAGGTTCTTTGAAGGGGAAGGAGGAGCTTTCTGAATCAGAGAAAGGCATTCTTGATTGGCTAGAAAGTAAGAAATAATGTTACATCTTCTTGCTATTTATTGTTGAATGTTTATGTTTTTGGAACTAAATTCTTAGAAATATATATAATGATATATATTTTGTGGGATGCTGTTAATTAAATTGTGACTAACTTTGTGATTCATTATGGTCCATTGAAAGTCGTAAAATTCAACTGCCTTTTTTGAAAGTGTGGTTAAATTGTTAATATAGTAGTAGTTGATTGTTCTTGAGCTTTTGCGATGAGCCTAACCAAGACTTTTGTGTTCACCTCTAATTTTTAATTTTTTTTTTAGATAACTAATCAAACCATACATATTAAAGGATAACTTACATTGTCAGTGAGGCTTGGACAAATTTGAAATTACAAGTAGAGGGTTAGGCTTTTATTACTTTGACCCCACCTAAAAGTGTAAAATATCTTCCGTATCTTTATCTATTTTAATAATAATTTAATATAAAAAATATGTCAAACCAAAAGACTCCACCATTATCCCTTTTTTTACCATATTGTAAATACTATATTACCCAACCTAATTTTTTATATTTTAAAAATAAAATCCTAATCAGACTCTAAAAAGAAACCTAATCAAATCTCTTTAATAAAAACAAATGTTTTTGTAAATTTTAATAATATAAAATTGGTATGAAAAATTAATGCTTTGCATTTCATGTCAAAATATATAGGGAAAATTATACTCACACACCTTGAGGTTAGGCCATATTTCAACTAGATGAAGATTTTGGTTTTAAATTTCACTTACATTTAAATTAGGGGTTTAAGATTTCACTTACACGCCAAATGTCAGTTTTTGGTAGGGTTAGAGTACTTTTGAGGTGTTAAATGACTATATTGCCCTTTGACCACGTGTTGACTATTTTTATGACCAAACTACCCTTAACATACACCAATGCCCAGGAGAGAGAAAGGAATATCCATGTTAGCAAAATACTTCATACATAAGCCATCTTCTCTTGCTTCCAATCTCTCTCTAACCCATCTCGATGATACAAATCACCCCATTTTCTTTACCTCTAGCCTAGCAAACCAGAGACAACAACCACAAACCCAAGAAGACCCACATCAACAACAATAACCTAGACTCGCTAGCTCAACTTCCGTTCTTCAACGTCTTAAGTCCATCGACTTCTTCATTTACAGATCCAAAGAACCCAACCCATCAACTAAACTCCGGCGGCAAGCTCTCATCCTTACTGGCGTCACCTACGACCGTTCTAGTATCCAGACCTAGCTCGACTCCTACCACAACACCTGTCCTGCCACCATACAAATCCTCGATACCATCAACTTCATCCCCAACCTCACATTCCACCGTCTTATCCACCTCTGATCCGATTAGCTGCCGGAATCTGACCACTCCTCTAAAGTACCTCTTCCAATCTCAAAGCAAGAAGTAGTTCAATCGATCAGAAAATTCAACAACCATGCAGATGATTGCTTGATTTCTCTACGTAAAATTTTTGACTTCGCTAGTCCTCCAACGGCTCAAGAGGGCGGCTTACGGGGAAATAGCTCGTCAGCTCTTTGTCCACAGCTGGTAAGTTCAATATTGTCGAAAAATTAGCCCAAACTCACCGGCGTCTTCCAAGTTCATCATTGTCGCCGGTGGTTTCTTCAGAGCTCTATGCCACCGCCGTATCCTTGTTGTTGTTCAGATAGTGAATGAGGGCTTTGATGCCGAACTATGCGAAGGTGGTTTGGAATTTTGTGACTCGGTCTGAATTGGACTCATAAGTGACGGTGTTAAAGAGAGTGGTAAGAGTTATAAGGAGGAAGATGAGATGGCTCAAGATGAATATTGTAGAGATGTGAGAGTGCAAAGATAGAGAATTTGGAGGAGAGAGAAAGTGGTAAAGAAATAGGTTTGCTGCTTTAGAGGTATGTGTGAGAGAATAATATGAAATGGTTTTGCTGGTTAGGGGTGTGTATCTGTGAAAGTAAAATTGTTGATTGAATTTTACCAAAATCCCAACTAGCCATGTAGGTGAAATCATTGATGAAAAATCTGAAGAGGATTGGTCTGTAGGGAGAGGAGAGAAAATGTGCTAATGTTTGCATTTAGATGTATAGGATTGATCAGGACCATAGATAACGTGGTGGTCTCGGGACTACGTATACAAACAGTATATATAGATACACACACACACATAAAGGGGCCTTTCTGTCATTTAAGATTATATATGTTCTGTATCAAAAAATTGAGAGTAAAATATATATATGTCATTTAAGATTATATATGGTCTCGGGACTACGTATACAAACAGTATATATATATACACACACATACACAAAGGGGCCTTTCTGTCATTTAAGATTATATATGTTCTGTATCAAAAAATTGAGAGTAAAAGTCAATTAGCAGGCAAAAAGTAAATTGGGGTGTAAGTGAAAGTTAAAACCAAAATCTTCATCTAGCTGAAATATGACATAATCTCATGGGGTGTAAGTGTAATTTTTCTAAATATATAAGGTTATTGAGGTATTTTAAAACAAGAAAATGGCAACTTAGTCATTTTATTTGAATTTTCATTAACGATAAGGGACATATACCAAATCTAAGGATATGTCAAAATAATAATGGTCATACATTCTACTTGTGTGTAATTTGTCCAAACATTAAATCAGGAAAGATCAACGTAATCTACTATTTTTTTTTTTTTAATGTACATTTAATGAAATTTCATATAATATTAGTACAATATGTCAAAGATTCCAAAGTTTACTTAAAACGTTCATCAAGCCTAATCGGCTTCATAGTATTTAATTTCTTGATAATTTAAGGCCTGTTTGGTAGGGACTTCCTGTACCCTCAAAACCGACTTCAAAGCCTAGGACCTCTAACTTTAGGTAGCTTTGGGCCTCTCCACAAGTAACTTGTGAACAATTATAACTTTAGGCAGTTTTAGGCTTTAATATACAGGTCAAATTTTTTTGAAAGCCCTATTCTTTAGGGTCAAAAAATGGTTCAAATTTATAATAATAAGATTTACTTATGCTGCGGTTGGTGTGCAGGAATTGAATGCCTATTCTAACCATTCTTTTGTTTGATATGCAATTTAAAGTGGGAATAACCATTCCATTGGAATGAAAATTCATTCTATAACTAAACCTATGGAATGGCCATTCCATTCCCAAATAATTTTTTTTAAAAAATCAACTTCCAAAAACCACCACTACCTTCCACCATAACCACCTCCCATTTTCACCACCACTACCATTGCCTTTTACCACCATCAATGCCACCGACTTTCACTACCAACACGACCTTTCTTTGCCGCAACCACCACCACCGTCACCGCCATCGCCTTTCACCATCGCCACCATCTTCCACCACCACCACCGTTACCGCCTTTTACCACATCCACCACCACCGCCGCCACCACCTTTCTCCACCCTCACTGCCTTACACCACCATCACCGCCACCACCTTAAGTTCATAGACTTTTGTGCACTAGTCCATCTCTAACAAATTTGGTTGAAAATTTTTTGATTTATTGACTAGGGTTTATAGTTCACTGAAGCTATAAAGGTTATTGTCCAAAAAAATAGGAGCTTAAAAAAAAAATTGAAAAATATTCAACTTGAAAAGAAAGAAAAAATTGAAAGTTGCTGAAGCTAAAGAAAAAATTGAAGCTAAAAGTGGAGATAAGTTGAGTTGGGGAATTGCTGACTACTTTTTAGAGTGAAATTTTCAAAAAGATTTGGAAAATTCAAAAAGATTTTGATTTTTACATTTTTAAAATTTTCTTTTGTTGATTATTTAATCACCATTGTGTTAGAAATTTTTTTGGGTAAATTAGGGAAAAAAAAAATTTCTCAAAACAACACTATGTTCAAGACTGCCCTTGTTGAACCGGTTCAAGGCTGTAAGCCATTAAGGGACAGCCCTTCTTGAACCAGTTCAAGAGGGTTGAACCGGTTCAAGGCTTTGGGATTTTGGTTTTTAAACCTGTTTTGTGCCTCTTTGTTTGCATAATCATTCCATCTCTATATGCTCCATAGTCCACTTCACTCCACAACTCACACATACAAACACATATATTTATATATCCATATACATCATATCATATTTTTGTCATTCATCCATGATATACAATTGATCATTACATGATAAATTTGAGATTGAAGACAAGAATTGAAGAAGTTGTATGAAGAATTGAAATTCAAAAATGGGTTTGAAAGAAATTTGTGGAGTTTGGGATTGATCACTTAGAGGATTGGTTTAACTTGATTATTGATGATATTTGAAGCTTCTAAAGTGAAATTGGGTTGATTTCTACATTGTTGATTGATTTTTGGGAGGATTGAAGATTGAATCAAGCTTTTCTCTATAACACATTTAGAGTTGTACACGAGGTGTTCGATAAAATTACTGAAAGAGTTTACAAGCTTCAAATTGAAAAAGTTTCTAGAGAACATGGCTCCTAAACTGTCTAAGGAAGCAAAAGGGAAAGGAATTACAAATCCAAGACCTCCAAAAAGGTCTCAAACTAGCACTAACATTCAAGAACCTCAAGGTGGTTCATATGCTTCAAGAGATGCTCAAATGAGATATCCCGTCTGTTTCTAGCACCAGCATGATTGAGTTTGACGAGTCACACTTCTACAACAACGATACTTGGAAAGTGTATCTCTCTGTTTACCAGGATGATCTAATCAGGTCAGAGAGGAATGTCAATCTTCAAAAGCTTTAAGACACAATTGGATGTAAGCTAGTGAACTACATCAAGTTGCATAATTGGCTTTTCTTCACTAAGCTTGGCAAAAGCTTTTACTGTTCGGATATGGTTACTTATTTCTACGCAAATATTCGTGAGGTACATGACTCCTACTTCATCCTATCTCTGTTTAGAGTTGATTATATGGTAGATAAAAAGGATATTGAAGCTATCCTAGACCTTCCAGACAATCGTTAGTTGACTGGACAGACTCTGCCTTTGACAATCACGGGTTCAGATTTTTCCCGAATTGTTTCAAAGATCTGTG